TCAGCTAGGCGCTGCTGGATCCTACAAAGCTCATTTTGCATATTCCACACTGAATTTTTCCCATACCCACTTCTGTAAAGAAACGTCTCATTGGTGAAAAGACACTACAATGTGTGTGCTGAAGACCCCATTCACTCATCTTTCCTAAGTGCTTGTCTTAACAGATGCTTGCTTCCCTGTTGGGAGGGATGGGGGATGCATCTAGAGACCCATAAAAAGGACCCTATCAAATTCATGATCGTGCAAAAGTGCCAGACTGTGAAATCAGATCTCTTCCCCATGAAATCTGGTCTTTTGTGTACTTTTATCCTGTCCTTCAGAGCTGGGTAGCTGGAACTTGTGGCCACTTGTGTACTCCTCCATTAATAGATGAAAACAGCAATTCTGGATGCTATCACTTCAGCTTGAAGAGTGCTTATAGAGCATATATAGGGGTTTTGTGAATATCCCCCATTCACAATCTATTGGGCGGGGCTGAGTGGGGCGAAATGAGGCTTTCTGTAAATAGAGATTGTGAATGTTCAACCATTCAGTATATTTCAGAGACAAGGTAATGTGACCACATCCAAGTTTTTGCTATATTAATCACCCTATTCACCTCCCCATCCTCCATCCTACACCTCACTGGGATAAGGGAGAGATGGTTGTGTTCCACGCACTTGTTGCCAGGCAAACCCTGGCCTTCCGCCATGTTACGACTAAATATCTCAGACTTCCAGATAGAACAAAAGGAGATGAAATCTCTAAACAGAGGGTCTCTAAATGGAGAACTGACTGTATTAGTAGCTGCTAATAGTTGCCACCTTGAAGCACCCACTGACATAAAAGCTTGCCGGGAGATCCATGTTCACCTCCACAGTCTTTAAGAAAGTTCCTATAATTGAAATATGTAAAGACACAACTTGGGCTTCTGTGCAATAATTCTCAACCCTGCTTCCGACACTGTTTGGCTCAGTTTTACTTTCTTCCACTCTTGACTGAAGCTCAGTAGTCCGTCTCCTAGAGTAGAGTACTCAGAGATGCTACTTGGAAAAGACGTGATTATTCAGCTTGTGCAGTAACTGAGTCTTCAAGATGTGTGTCCCTATAGCTTTTTCACTACCTGTCCCCCTTTCCATCTGCTTCAGAGGTCCCTGTCATAGGACAAGCTTTGTAGCAGAGAAGGAACTGAGGAAAGCTAGCCCCTGCAGTGTTATATGACAATGCATGAAGCTGAGTAACATCCAGGTAGTGTCTTTTTGATCTGTTTGTATGGGAAATCTTCAATTGAAGACACAGGAAGTACAAGCACAGTGTGGGTACACATAGGCTATGTCTAGACTGCAAGCCTCTTTCGAAAGAGCCTCTTTAGAAAGAGAGCGTCTAGACTGCACGGAGAAATTTCGAAAAAGCGGCTTGCTTTTTCGAAAGAAAGCATCCAGTGAGTCTGGATGCTCTCTTTTGAAGAAGCCCTATTTACATTGAAGAACGCCTTCTTTCGAAAGAGGAACTTTCGAAAGAAGGCGTTCTTCCTCGTAAATTGAGGTTTACCGCCATCGAAAGAAAAGCCGCGTTCTTTCGAATTAATTTCGAAAGAACGCGGCTTGAGTCTGGACGCAGGGGAAGTTTTTTCGGGAAAAGGCTACTTTTCCCGAAAAACCCGCTGAGTCTGGACACAGCCATAATGACATACATCTCGAAAAACCACAGTTTCTGCACAGTGTGAATAATCATTCCTCCTCTGTGAAAGCAGAATTCCTGACTGCTGCTTCCATAGTGTCCACCTGAGAACCTGTTTCTTGTGTGACTATGTTCCCTTTGGGCCTGGAACTGCAAATGTTTCCCAGTGGGCACCAAACCTGAAATGTTGGAACAACAGCTGTGCTTCCAGGCCCCGTGACCTATCTGCTGATAAGAAAAACCAACACTTTAAATAAAAGCAGATGGCTTTCCCTTTTGTATAAATAACTTATCACTGTTTATACAAGAACCTTATTATGAAGTACAATTTAAAATAATTACTGGTAATCTAAAATTGCCCAAGGACAGAATGGTTTCATTTAGGTGATTGGTTTTAAGTAAAAGAAAGTAATTGTTTATCACGCTTATCTTTTTGTATCTAGAATGTTTTTGTGAATTGAATTTTCATATTCTATGGCCCATTGCTTTCCTTAAACTTATTGATTAAAAGGACATTTTCAAATATAATAACATACCCTTATGTGTAATTCTGTGATAATTTAATTTGTTTCAGTGTTTATTATGATTCTTTAATTGTATTTCTGTCCATTTGAACAATGAAAATAGATTAGCTGGCTTCTCACTAGTTTACGCAACATCTAATCATTTTCTACCTCTGACCATTCACTGGCAAAGTACAATAGAGTTTGATTTGCAGATGATACATAGGAACGTTTCAATCCAAGCAAACAGTTCTCATTTGAAAATATAAAAGTAGTGAGAAATATAGAGACTGATTAAAATCCTTAAAATTGATTTTTACATCCTGTCTAAACCAGTGTTTCTTAAACTGTGTTCCGCGACACAGTGGTGTGCCGCAAGGCAGTTGGAGGTGTGCCGCGGAGTACAGAGTTCAAAATGGCCACCCTTAAAGGTGCATAATCTGCATTTTTCCCTCAATAACTTCCCCCCTCCCTAACCCCCCCTTTTTTAGGGGGAGTGGGTCAACAAAAAATCCTTGGTGTTCCTCTTAAAAAATAAAAATTGTTTGGTGTTCCTCGGTCTTTAAAAGTTTAAGAAACACTGGTCTAAACATAGAAGTAGCATCATTTTAATGTAATTGTTGTAAGGGCACTGTTAAATTAGTTTGAATGCCATTGCTCAATATATAAACTTTAGTTGACCAACTGTAATTTTAGTGTGTTAAGAACTTTAAAGATAGAGGCCTGCCAAGTATTTTTCCCATTAGTATTAAACTTGAAGCTAAGTGTAATTTCTGTTTTGCTCTGATCATAACAGTCCTTTTATCCACTGGAGAGTACCGTTAATAAGAGTTTCTAGTGGTACCAGTACTTAGGCCCCAGTTCATTAATCATTGATTTCAATGGGACTTTGGCACATTTTAAGTGTTTGCAGAATTAGAAGCCTTAGTGCTGGAATCTAATAATGAGGCTGGAAGTCAGGTTTCCCACCTAGTAAGTTGTTTGGGGAATAGAAATAAGGGGTCCAGGTGAGGATGGTGCAATGGTCATTGTCATTGATGAGCTGCTGGTTTGAAGCGGGTTGGTGTTTCTTCTCCCTCTTCTTTCCTGTATCATCTGGAAGCTCTGATTCTCTCTGATTTTGAGAGGGTGTTTCCTAGCTTAACTCAGTACTGTGTTAGGAAGATAGAAGTGAGTTCAGGCACAGTCAATTTAAGTAATACTTGTTTTTCAGAACCTAAATGTTGAAAATAAGCTACTTGACAATGTCTCTTGTCAACAATGAAAATATTCTTCAAGTTTATTTTAGCTCCCAGATAAACTCTTACATAAATCTTTGTGTACCTTACAAATTTAAAATGACCACATTAGTCAGACCCTACTTCCTCTTTGATTGGTACAACTTGAACAGCCTGATACATGCCACTGGAACAATAATTTCCAGATTTGCACTAAGTTATCTGACATGATCTATGAGTTGATCTGAATTTTGTAGAAAATTATGTATTTGTTCCTCAGGTACGTCTATGATATTACAGGAATGCAGATGTTCACCTGCAATGTACTATTTTAAAATAACATTTTTACATTTCTATACTTTGTGTATTAAACAAAGGCCTAGAAGAGGCTTTTAATTTTTCATTTATTATCTTAAAAATATATGTAATGACAAATCTGGTTTTTCCTGATTTGCTGAAGAATATTTTTGAGGTTTAAATATTTGTGAGTTCTCCCACATTAATTAAAGGAATGGCTGTTGAAATTTCAGCTTTTGCAGCAAGTTTTTTTCTGTTTTTTCATTTTTTTTGCAATGAAATCAGAGACAATGGGGGAAACCCATAAGTCATATGGAAAATACAAACTTCACTAGAATTTTACTTCATGATAACCAGCTTAAGTTAAGAATACACTAGTTTTCACTGGGAAACAAGACCATAGTTTTCCAAGGTAGACCAGACATGTGGAAAAAGAAGCAGATTCATGTACTCTCTGCTTTTTTATCTTTTCATGCCATCTTCATTCTTCATAAAGTATAAAAGGACAGTAACTAATTTTCCCCCTTTGTAGTTCAGCTTTAAAAGTTGTTCTCAAGAGGACAAATGCAGGCTCCCCCTTTAAAGGACTGGTACTTATTAAAGATGCTAAAACATTTTTCGTGCCTTGGTTCTGAATAGCATCGTCGATATTAAATGTGGGAAAGAACTATTAGAGCATCCAGTCCATCTCCCTTGGGGCAATGCTGTTTTCTCTAACGTTTCTCTCCAGTGATATATCCAATCTAGTTTTTAAAGTAGCCATATTTATTTCTTTTTCTGCTCTGTTCTAATACTTATGGACCTCACGTGCAGAAGATGGCTTAAATTGTACTAGACACTGTACAAACAAATACTAAAGTGACAGACTTTACCCCAGACAACTAAGAGCGCATGTCAAAATGACCTCCGAAGTCGCAGATGGCTACCTGAGTGATCAGTGCTGGGCAGCAATAATGTGTAGCCATCATGGCAAAGACAGGCCTATCTGATTCAAGTTATCGGACTTTCACCCCTTCTCTTGACCATTCTGCAATCTAATAGGGCTTTATTTAGGCAGCTTTTCCTGACATTCAATTTAAATTTTCTTTTAAATTTCATCCCACTACTCCTAGCAATAATGTCACCCTAAATGCTCCATTCAAGTACTTGTAGATAGTTATCATGCCTACCCGTGAGCTATAATTTAGCCAAGCTATATGCTGTTTTCTGGTAAGTTTTTCCAGGGCATATGTGTTGCTTTTCTCTGTGCACACTCACCAGGCCATGGTGAATAAATGAGAAAACCAATTCTGTTCTCTGAATAACTTTCTTGTTTTCTCCACAGGATCTAAACTGCCTCGTAAGAAATAGTAAGTCAGTTTTTCTTCTTTATGGTATATACCCTCCTCTCACTTTTTTTTTTACTGAAGTTACATGGTGAATGACTCTGTTTTATCCACTGGGAGATGGCAAAGCTAAGCATTATCCCATTAACCAGTATTGTGAGCTATCAACAGCTCTTTCCAAAAGGGAAATAGGAGTTCAGGTCTCTCTTCAGGCAAGAGCTCTTGGAAAGAGTAAATAAATATTTTTTTTAGCTTCTATTCTAAACCAAGTCAATTAAAAACATGTGATGAGATTTTCAGGGTAAGTTTGATGTGTGTAATATATATCCGTACCACACTGTGCTCACTAAGTCAGCAGGTAAAGTTAGATGTAAACTTAATGCTGCTAAAGAACAATAAAACAGTGAAACAATTGATAGCAATGACTATAAATTAGCAGATGTGATTTTCAGCAAATTGTTACCAAATAGAAACAAAGCAGACATTTGGTATAGGCCCATTACTACATAAGTATGTTAAAACTATCTGTAATAATGCAAAAAAGGCAGAAGTGTTCAGTAGCTATATTCTATACTTGGGAAGAAATTGGGTGTTGTATTTGTGTCTTAACAGTAGTAAATTAAATACTTGCTATTCCAACAGTAATGGTATTAAACAACTTCCAAAGTTAAACATTTTTTAATATTCAGAGTGGTGTAATATATACTGAGTGGTTTTTAAAGAATTAGTTAAGTAGCTCTCTGGACCATTAAGTAAAGTTAATATTTAGTTCATTGGTTGTTTAAAGTGTCTTGAAGTACTAGGGAAGTGCCTGAAGTAAAAGCTGATGTGCCAGTATATCAAAAGGGCTAAAAGGCATGCTCTGGATAGATTAGTTTGCTTAGTATTTGTCCTAGGCAGTTACCATTCTTAATCAAATTTATAATCCTGTCATAAAATGAAATCAGTTTTGTTCGGCATGTCTCTTTCCATAAACCCATGTTGATTATATTTCCATCTAGAGGGCTCATTAATTTAGCAAAGCATAAGAGCCAATGGCTGTGAAAGATGAAACTGTCATACTCAGACTAACTAACTAATTAATCTAATTCTTTCTAATAACTGAAACAAATTACCATAAAGTTATGGTGGATTCTCCATCAAGTTGAAGTTTTTTAAATCAAGATCATATTTCTTTTTAAAATATGAGGTAGTTCAATAGAAGTTATGGGCTTGATATAGGAATTACTGAGAAATGTTAGGGCATATTTTAACCAGAAGATCAGACTTGATCATAATGTTCCCTTTTTTGCGTTTAAAAATCTATTAAGTACAATATTTTCCCCCAGAAGACACATTAAGGTTATAATATTCATAGTTCACGTAGGATGGCTGGGTCTACCTGATCTCAGAACATGGCTTTCCACTACAAGAATTAATGAGCTTACCAGCAGGGTTTAGTGATTTTTTTTTTTTCAACCTATAGTCCTCAGACTAGGATTTCCAAAGGGGTCTGCATTTCCACTTGAAATTTTGTAGGGGTTCACAAATGAAAAAGAATGAAACTGCTGCACTGGAGGAAGGCATAGTTACATGTGCTTGTGCAGGTCTTATGCCATCCAGCAGTGGGCCATGGTGGACATAAACACCAGCCACTATGATACATCACCAAAGGGGATGGAAATACACTTAAGAAACATCTTTGATTTGACTGACAGGTACCTGCATGGATCAGAGCTGGTTAAAGGTTTCCAAATGGACTCCATCCGCTCCAAGTGCTCTTGATGTGCATTCTGATGTTTTCCTTGACAAGGAGGGAAATCTGCTCCCTGTACTGCGGATCGAGTGGAAAGTGGCTACTGATGGTAAGTAATCACTTAACATACACATGGAAGGGAAAGTACTTAGAGAGATTATAGACTCTCTGAAAGATAGTGATAGGACTGCAGTGTTTGCAGTCATTCTCTGGTCCAGCTGTGGAAGTAGAGCTTTGAGATGTTCTCTGGACAGCTTGCCTACTGTATCAGAGGACGTGAAGTGAGTAAATGTTGGTAAAGTTCTCCCTCACTCATTACGTAGCCTTCAACGGAGGTCAAATGCTGCTGTTACAATAGATGGAGTAAAGCACTGAGGGAGGGTCCCCCCAGTGCAGTTGGTGTCTGACAAGAACCAGCAGTCCAAAGCCCTAAATTATTATCACTATAACCCTGATTTTTAAAATTATTAATCAGGCAGGCCTGCTGACCATGTGCGGGGAGCAGGAGGAGGCTGGGGCTCAGCAATTAAAAAGGGCCTGGGGCTTCTAACGATCGCTGGAACGCTGCCCCCAAACACACTCTGCCCAGGGGCCCAGCAAATCTGTTGCAAATCAGGTTTATACTTCTTAGAAAATACTTTGAAAACCTCAGCTACAGTATTGAGTAAAGTTTATTGCAAACTGATCCAGAATGTGCAGATGGTTGTTGCACTAGGTTTACAAATGTGCACACGCTGATGGCAAGAAGTCCTAACTAGAAAACATTCCATTTACTAGAAGCTAAAAATTGTTTAAAGGTTGAAGGACTCATAATAGTAAAAAGATACGTCTAAAACACCAGAAATTGAGGAAGGCCTAGTGGAAAGAAGAAGCGAGGAATGAGTGCATAACCATGGGGGAAGCGTATGAAAGAGACTATAAAGCTATGAATAGTACAAGTTAGGTCTTGGTCCAGGCAGAGTAAAATAAGTGTCTTGTGTGCAGTGGTCTAGAATCCAGTTCAAGTTTCTTCCATTTGCAATAATCAAATCCAGTTCTTGCAACCCAGACTTCCTACATGCATGTGTGTGTCAGTTCTCAGTAGATGCTCTATAGCTAGGTGCCTTGTGAAATTCGTGCCAGTGACAATAATGGTTGGTGTTAGGGATGTTAAAATGTGGGTAACTAGCTAACTGTGTAACCACTAACAAACTGCAGCAGTTACACGCTTACATGCAGCTGCAGCTTAGGTGGCAGTCAGCTCCCCAGGATCTGGTGCACATCAGGAGCCGGCTTTTTAAGCTGGTTCCCCATACATATCCGTTTTTGCCTGCCACCCTGCTCCCATGAAGTTGGAGCACAGGGGTGGCAGCCGGCTCCCTGTCCCTGGAGCCAGACCAGGAGCTGTATATAACCATTTAGGTAACTGATAAGTTCATGCTCATCTGTTACCCATTTAAAAGGCTACACTCTTACATGCCTAGTTGGTATATGGGAACATTGCAGGTTTTGCCCTCCAGTTTTTTCCTTTCACTCTTCAAACTTACTTGAGTTTCACAGACTTAAGAAATCCCTTTTGTACACATTAGTCAGCCCCAATCCTAGACTATTGCTTGGAATCAGGATGTACAGTACTTTGTGTCTGTTGAGTCAGGTGAGGTACTCTAGAGTTTTCTGAGTACTGTTCTAAACACAGTTTTGGTACCACTATAACTACATCAGTATAGAAACTGATATAGTTAGAGGGTTTTACCTCTGTACCTTGGATGCGGCTGTAAAGGTATGAATGTGCTTTTCTTAATGTAACTTATTTCTTCTAGTCTCAGAGGAACAGCCATGTTAGACTGTAGCTACAAAAACAAGGAATACTTTGGCACCTTAGGGTGTGTCTACACAGCAAAGTTATTTCAGAATAACAGTCGTTATTCCGAAATAACTATGTGAGCATCTTAACAGCAATTCCATTACTTTGAAATAATTTCAGAATAACAGATGGTTTATTCCGACATCTGTAAACCTCATTCTACGAAGAATAATGCCTATTTTGATGCTCCACTTCTGCTATTTCGAAATAGAACAGCCCTGGTGAGGGGCTAAGTTATTCCTCCTGGGGTTCTAAATAGAGATAGTACATCTACATTAGGGAAGCCTGACTCGGACTAATTTTGAGGCTTCCCTGCAGTGTAGATGTGCTATTTCTAAATAAGCTATTTCAGAATAACTTTTCTGGAATAGCTTATTCCAAAATAACTGTGCAGTGTAGACGTAGCCTTAAAGACTAAGGGTATGTCTACACTACCATCCTAGTTCGAACTAGGGTGGTTAATGTAGTCATACGAACTTGCAAATGAAGCCCGGGATTTGAATTTCCCAGGCTTCATTTGCATGTTGCCGGGCGCTGCCATTTTAAAATGTCCGCTAGTGCGGATTCCGTGCACGCAGCTACACGCGGTGCGAACTAGATAGTTCGGACTAGGCTTCCTATTCCTATGGTATAGGTGGTAGTGTAGACATACCCTAACAGATTTATTTGGGCATGAGCTTTCATGGACAAAGACCTGCTTAGTAGATTAACCCAAGGGTTCTCAAACTTTGTGATACCATGACCCTCTAAAATGCTAAATGAATTTGTGTAAACCCCCCCCACCCTCACTGCCCTGGGTCGCTTCTTCCCCCCTTCTCACTCTCACATACATACACATAAAACAGGACTCTGTAGCACTTTAAAGACTAACAAGATGTCCAGCCCCTGCCCAAAGCAGGACCAACCCCAACTTCATGTCCCTTTGGTGGTTTTTTTCCTCTCTCTCTCCTCTCTCCTCCTCCTCTGACTCTCACATGCCCTTATTTACCTCCAGGTTCTCTGCCCCAACCCAATCCTCCAGCCCGCTGCCTGAGGGACCCCACCCTGTCCCAGCTGGGGAAGCATTCAGTCGCCGGGAAACCGTGCCCCCGCTGCCCCTCGCACATCCGCTCCTGCGCCGGCCTCACTCTCCCGCTACCTTACCGCCTCCTGCAGCTGAGCCGCGCTCCTGGAGTCCCATGGCCATGGCCACGCTGCACGGTTTGCCGGCCGGTGCCTTCCGCCACCCTGCTGCTCTTTCACAGCCCGGGGAGAGGCGTCGCAAGTGAAAAACCAAATCCAGCTGCGACACCCCTCTAAAAGTTGCTTGCAACCCCCTTAGGGGTCGCGACCCACAGTTTGAGAAATGCTGGATTAACCGGTTAACTGATTAAATGGAATTTTACATCCCTAGTTTATACCCACAAAAGCTTACACCCCAATAAATCTGTTAGTCTTTAAGGTGCCATAGGACTTGTCATTATTTCTTCTATGCGTTCTATACAAGGTATTCTAAAACAAGCATCTTGTATGACTGTGTGCCTACTGGGAGGTGGTACTGCTTTAACTATACTTGTTTCTAAAATGAGAGTTTTAATGGTACTGAACTGTAGACTAACCTGAGATGCCAGGCTGGAGGACAGAGGAAGGCTGGTTATAGCACTGGGATACTCTGGGGGTGAATTTGGAAAGTTGGATTTATTTACAAGACATACTTTCTGTTGCTTGTTTTTTCAGCACAAGTACATCTGCATTATGAATAAAATGGAGCTTCTCAGTCTCTGATGATATGACCCCAAATTCACCTTGCTGCCACTTTCTTAAGATCCCTCTCCAGAATCTTGTGTGCTAGTTCCTATGGCAATTCATTTAAGTGCCCCACAGATTGATGCAGCAGTTTTGTGGGTAGCTCTTGTCATGTGAAGGTAGCCAATGTAAATCTACTTTATCAGATGATACACAGTGAATGGGAGTGGGTCTTGACATATCCCAGGCATCCTGGCAATCTCTGGGGATGGGGTTGCATAAAATCTTTAGACGTGGAATTGCTAGAACAAAACTTTAGCCTCTCCCCTTTCTTATTCCCCCAGCAAGCATTCAGCATCTTTGGGGAGCAGAGCTGGCTGTGCTACAAATGAACAATAATCGACAAATGTGTGTCCAGTTTGACTTTCAGAACAACCTGCCACTTCAGGTCCGTCCAGATGGAAGCCGGGTAAGTAAAGAGGGCTCTGACAAATGATTTCCTAACTCCCAGCGTTGTTTACTCTTCACTCAATCAAATAGCAAAGTTGTCAGTGACTAGCACAGAATGCTTATACTGTGGAAGGATGACTTTGTAATTAAGGCAGTGAACTTGCGTCTTGGGAAGCCTGGTTTCAACTTTGACTTCATCTGTGACTGTGGGCAAATCAGGTACTCTGTGCCTCAGTTCCCTATCTGTAAAATGGGGATAATTCAGTGCTCCCTTTTCCCCACTACTTCTGTCCTTTGGGTTGTAACTGCCCTCCTAGGCTATAGGGGCTATGTATTAATGTGTGTGTACAGTGTCTAGCAGAGTCTGAATGCTATTGTAATACAAATAATTTTAGCAATAATTTCTTCATCTATGGTATCCATGGCATTTATAGCATAATTTTAATTCATTCTTCTGCCTCAAATCCTCTTTTTTTACCACACCTTGGAAGAAAACACTGGATAAGAATGGTCAAAGTCTTTCCACACCCTCAATCATTTATTAGGGACCTTATCCAGGGAGATGCTGAGTATCCATAATTGCTGCTGAAGACAATACGATTTGTACATGCACACTACTACTTAGGATTTAGACTGTACATTGTGAAGAAAAATTTGGGCCTACAGGAGAATAGTGACCTTCTGTGGAATTTCCTGATGTAAAGAGCATTGTGGGTAATGATACAGAAGTGAGAAACAAGACAAAGCAATTAGCTATCCGTATGAATATGTACATTTATAGGACCCTGCAGAATTTATTCTGACTTGCACAATTTCACTCATGCTAACAGTATTGAAGGGTATAAATACCCACAACTTCCCCATTATTACTTAACCTCAACCTCTCCTCAACCTTGAACATCACTCAATTGTCTCAGTTATTTCTGGGTTGTGACTCCCCCATTTCAGCCCAGAGTTTCCATACAGTGACTTAGAACTCCCCCAAAGTAACCTTAGCTCTCCCATTCTGGGCAGATTTATTGAGCTTGTGGTGCATTTCTCACCCTAGCTACCATAAAAGATGAAGTGTCAGGAAACGGAATCAGCTATTAATTTCAGTGTCTTGACAGATTTGTTGATGCGGATAGGATCTTTATCAGATTTCTGTTTCAGTGGAACTTCACTTTCAACCGCTTTGAGGTGGAACCTGGCCAAATGTACCAAGTGACTGTCCATCACCTGCCCAAACTGGGCACCAGTGGAGACTACAACTGCAAATCAGAATCTTACACAGTGCCTGGTAAGGGTGACTCACTGATGCCTTTTATTAAGCCTTCAGATGGAAATATTGGTTTGCCAGTACCTAGAATAGGCTTGTTTCCAAGCCAGACCAGATCAGACAAATTGGAATGTCATTCATGAACAAGCATAGATAGGTTGCTGCATTGCTGATGGAGTTGTAAGACCTGCTCTCCTCCTACTTCAGAAAATAAATATTCAGTCCATGCTTTCACAATGCTACGGTCATTCCTCCACAGAGTTTGTACACGGCTTCAGCACCCTGAACCCTTCAATTCCAAGTTTTCAGAAGCTTATGTAATTTGTTTCCCGTACCCCAAAAACATAAAGCTCTGCTTGGAGAGAAGAGTGCAAAGAATAAATTTTCAGTGTGGGTAACAGTGGCTTTTGTGGAGGGGAGATATTGTGCGCAGGTCTTTATGTATCCCAAGAAAAGCTGGACTGAGATTCTGTGACCTGAATTCTGCAGCGTTTCAGTGTGATAAACTGGAAATTCTGCAGCAACTTCAGATATTTTTTTTTTAATTGAGATTTAGAAATAAATATGAAAAGTTATAGCCAGTTCAGTAGCCAGTCTGAGAGACCGTGTTGATTCTGTAGTAAATGCATTTCTTGGGTGTTTCTGCTAAAATGTTCAGCAGTGAAATAAGTGGAAGTGATACCTCTTGAGGTGAATGAGGTAGTTCACACCTGGGAGCTAATATTTCAGGCTCTCTACAAACTCAAATAGCGTGGCATGTGTTTCACTTCATCAGTTATCTTCATAACCATGACAGCTAGAAACATAAGCCAAAATTTCAAACCAGAGTGCCTAAAATTAGACTTCTGAAGTCA